AGTGAGAAACTGCTAAAGAAATGTGCGAAGATTTACAAAAGGCGCATGAAATTGCTAATCTCAGCAATACACTGTATTTGATTAGAAAGCAATATCAAACAAAGCTGATGAAAGGCCAGAATGTGCAGGATTACATAAGGCACACCTTGGAAATGGTTGAATGCCTGAAAGGTATGGGAGAAGAAATAAAAGATTTTCCTATTGCACTATTACTTAGTGGTTTACCAGAAAGTTATGAAATGCTTGTCACAGCACTTGATGCACGTCCAGATGGTGAACTAACATTGGAATATGTTAAGGGAAATCTTATGAAAGAATATAAGAGTAAAACAGAAAGCATTAATAGTGATGGTGCTTCTGTTGCAGAGTCTGCTTTAAAGACTAAAAATCAGAAATAAGAACAGTAACAGGCAACAAGAAACACTGATATTTTGTGTGCAGGAAACAAGGCCATTTAAAAGCAGTTTCCAGAATCTGGAAAGCTAGAATGCAAAAGCGAACTATTTCCCAGGATGTCACTAGAAAGATACCTGTGAAAAATGTCCTGTATGTCCCTGCTCTTGACATGAATCTTTTGGCAGTAAAGAAGCTTACAAAACAAGACAATGTAGTGATCTTCCAAGATAACAGTTGTGCCATCACAAAAAGGGATATCTTACTTGCAAAGGTTACATAAAATTACAGATGAACTGTATCAACTGAACTGCAATGAGGTGGTTAATACTGCCAAGGCGGAACAACATTCAAACTGCATTCACACATGGCACATATGATTTGTGCACAGAAGTCCTGACTTATGCAGGCCATAGACGGGGAGAAAACCGGCCGAAAATTCCTCTGAAAGATTAACTTTCGGAAAGTGGACTGAATTGGTTGGCCGTTTTTCTTGATTTTGACACATTTTTTAATCGGTGATGTTGGAAAAAATGCAGACTGATTTTGTCCATCGGCCGATTTTTCAGGCAATGATGGGCTAATCGGCCAATCTTTTTACCGATTAAAAAAATGCGCATGAGCCGTGACCAAAGAAAAAGAAGAACATCTGTATAATTTGTCACCACTTTCGGATACAGATGTTTCTATTCGGATACAAATAGATACAATGTTTGCAGCCGCAATACTTATAAATGTCAAATACCCAATAGTGGTGTCCCTGAAGAGGCTATTATATTTGACATTTAAAAGTATAGCGGGTTGCAACATTGTATCTATTGTATCCCAAATAGAAACACTGTATCCAAAATGGATACTAGATACAATGGAAGTTTGCTGTTTTTAAATGGGTAATAGTGGAGCTCTCTGCAGGGATACCGCTATTATATTTGCCTGGGCCTAGACGGGACGAAAATCAGCCTATACCAATGGAGGCACTGAACGACCGATTTTTTTTTCCCTCTTTACTTCTATGGCCTGCATAAATCAAGAAATTACTATGCATGTGACTAAAAATGAGTCCATTTGATCAAACATCATTGCATAGCTGTATAAAAGGACAAACGACAAGAAAAGCCTTTATGCAAGCAAAGTAGCCAGAGCTGGACTTTTATTCATCATCACAACTATCTTCCAAAATTGACTAATTCAGAAAATTAACTGAGAAAAATCCATATGAACTGTGGAATGAAGGCCCTGAATTTGAACCTCTGACTTTTTGAAAGTAAAGCCTGTGTATCCCAAAAGAAAAACATACAAAATGGGGATGCTTCTGGAATGTGTACTTAGGTGTACAGTGAATCTCAGAAGGGAAAATTTATAAGCCAGGGGGCTACAGCAATATGGAGATGGAGGCACTACCTTGCAGTGTCCCGCCTTATTCAGCTGAGATACTTGTGTTATGCTGCACCATCCCTCCTCTAAACCAACTGAGCCTTTAGACCTGCTAAATGGCAATCCTAGTTCCAGTGGTTTTGCTAGATATAAATTTCCTTACAATATCCCAATAGGCACTGTCACATGCTTGCATGTTTACCTTAGCTATATTGTACTTATACTGCATGCAGCCTGAAAACTGTTGTTAAGGTACCCACTCTTAATGGACCCCAGTGGGGCCAGCAGAAGAACCTCAAAGGACTGCCTTTCTTGCAACAATTATTCTGCAAGCCCCCCTTGTTCCCCTGCCTCCTCCATGGGGCCCCCTCCTGACTTTGGGCATGCCCCTCGGGACAGTGCTGCCGTAAATGAGTTCTTGCCAAATTTTTTTTCTGCTCACTGCCCTGCTTGCTAGTGTTTATGCTGATATGGACGCCAAATGTCATCTTATGCCTAGTCCTTACTGTTAATCATTTTGTGTCCTAAATTTTGTTATTACCATTGTTAATCCATTTCATGCTTACCTAATTACCAACTATATTGGATGACAATATATATTAAGTTTAGCTTTTACTACCTTTGGTGCCTGTTTTGCTGTGATGTAGCACTACTATTGGGTAAGTATTACTTCCAGTGATTTCTTGTGATATTGTATGTTGCTACACTCAACCTGGAGTGTCGGAGGGGCTGAGGTTCTTTGAGAAGTTTAAGGCAAAGAACAAACAACCCATCCTCTCTAGCAGCCTCTATGGGGTGTAGCATTTCATACTTCTCGTTTTATATTTGGATCACTTGGTGATCTACTAACTACAAGTTGGTGCTATCAACAGATGGCCCTAGAGTAAAGCAAAATAAATTCTGCAGCTTCTGGTCATTTCTAATGCAAAAAATGATTTTGTTTTAATAAAAAAAACAATGTATTAGTTCTATATAATCCTGTAATGTTCTAATGATAAAATAAAAATACATTTAAAAAAAAAAAATGAAAAAAACAAATTCTGCAGCTTTCTGGTCATTTATAATGCAAAAAAAAAATTTACCGGTAGTTTAAATAAAAAATCAATGTATTAGTTGGATATAAGCATGTAATGTTCTAATGATAAAATACATACATTTTTTCTAGGGTTAAAATATGTCCTTGTGTCTTTGAATTTTGAATTATACATAACTGTATATTAAACCCATTACTTTAACATCAACTCATTGATGAATGAGGATCTCCAAAAGCAACACGGTTTTTTGGGTAAATTATGTTTAGCTTGTGTAACATGTGCATAACTCACTTAAACAATGGGATTTTAAAACCTCACACAAGCCTAACTGACTTAGCCTTTTGCCCCATAATTATCATCCCTTTACCCTTGTTTACAGGGGCATAGATAATGGGGGGTCAGGGGGGTCTGAACCCCCCCAGAGGAGAGATTTGCCAACCATCTCTGCCCCCCCCAAGATTTCCACTTGACCGAGAGTGGAAATAAGGTGGGGACGGAGAGCAGTGACGGGACCCCTCCCTTTCACCTTCCCTTCCTTCCACCCACCTGTCCCTTCCTTCCTTCCACCCCCTTCCTTCCTTCCACCCTCCCTTCCTTACACCCACCCCTTCCCCTTCCTTCCATCCACCCCTTCCTTCCACCCACCCCTCCCTTCCTCCCTTTCTTCCACCCACCCTCCCTTCCCCACCCCCCCCCCCCCTTCGTTCCTTCTAAAATTATCTACAGCCCTGCATTTTTATCCCCACTTTCTATGCCTCTTGTTAGGTGAAAGAGATATGAGGACTGCTATTACTGAATATTCCTTCTGATGGTGCTAGTTGCCTGGCTGCCTTGCTGACCCTTTGGCTTCAATACTTTGAAATACTGATCCTAATGCATATCTAAATGAAGAGTTCTGACTTTTTTCTGACTTCCCAGACTGCATACTTGTTTCGGTCAGTGACTCAGAAAGCTAACAGGTTGGCAAAACAGTCAGTCATCTAGCATTGTCAATAATAAGGCAGCCTAGATATTCTGTCATGACAGGTTCACTTTAAAACTCTTGCCACCTGTCAAGCATTTTGTTTTCTGAACCACGTCTATTTGATATCCCAATATTACTATTTATAGAGCACACAGTTTGAAATCACATTTGTCTTGTTTCGTTAAGCTTTATGTTTCAAAAATTAAAACTGTACTGTGGGCAGAAATAATTAATCCATAGACGCAATCATTCTTTTGTTTCCTTTTTTAAATAGTCTGACTCATTCATCGCTCTAACTTACTAAGTAAAGTAGTAATCAGTCTGTGAGGATATATACGTAAATGTAACTGATATAAATGTAATGGAAACATAGTAACAATACATGGTAGAAGCATTGAAATCAATTATCTCAAAGGCAATGTTATTGTTATACTGTGATAGGTATGTTTTTTTAGTTTATAGCAGAAAAATAAGCAAGTTTTTTTAAAAACCATTGTTCCTGTATATGAGGCATGGTCTGGCCATGCATGCGTGAGGACATTAGCATGAGGGGCTCCCCAAACCCACAGAAAATGTATTAATAAGACGATATGAAAAGTACTTCTTCCCAGGCCGAGATGGATGGGGTGGCAGCTCCCAAAATGGCGCCTACTGCACAAGGCTCCAACAATATCCGAGACAATGGAACATTCGCCACACTAACAGTGAAACCCCCTATTCATCCAACAACACTTCCCTGTTAGAGATTCACAAGGCTGTGGGGAGGAGGACATTTATGCAATAGATGAGGACTGGGCCAAAAAAAAAATAACACACATTTGAGCACTTTTAACTAAAGAAGGTTTAAATTATTACAAAAAAATATATTTTTGGGGGTTTCCAATAAAAAAGATGTTATACTTACCTGCATTGTGCAATATTATTGCACAGAGTGTCCCTTACCTCCTCCTTGACAGTCCCCCACTGGCACTGTCCCCTCCTCTGGGTGCCTCCTTAGCAAGCTGGGTGCTATGGAGGCACCCGTGCTCAAACAGTCTCGAGCTGGACTGTGAACATCCATAGACACCCACAACACCAGTAAGTCCAGTAAGTCTCACCCCCGCTCCCTGCTTGACTGACCCCCCCTCCCTGTTTGACTGACAGCAGCAGGAGCCCTTTGGCTCCCACTGCTCTCAATTGTGTCCTGTGAGACCAGGAAGTGAGAGGGGGGGTGATCAGGGGTGGACTGACAACTCATGGGGCCCCCGGGCAATAGGGGATCATGGGGCCCCTGTGTCCTTACCCACACTCAAAAAAAAACCTTAAAAAGGTACCAGGGGCATTTCATGGGGTCCCCTACTGACCCCGGGCCCTGGGCAGTGCCTGAGTTCTCGAATGGTCAGTCCGCCCCTGGTGGTGATGACACAACTAGTCCCTCCCAAGTGCCCAGAAGAAAAGGACATAGAACTGGAAACTTAATCAATCTTCAATCAGATGAATGAACAAAAAATAAAAATGGTTCTTGCTTTCAAGCAATAAACTCTTCCACTACCATAGGTCATCCCTATAGAAACACACTCACCAAATCGATGCGACCACTTAAAAGAATGAGCTGGTGAAAAGGTGCTCTATATTTAAATCTAACACTTAGGGGTGTATTATTTCTGTGTGAATAGGGCTGTTCTCTTTCCAGGTTGAATGTTTTTATTCAAACAGAATAGACTGAATCGTTATTATAGCATTATGGGCACTAGATGGAGCTGGTGGTCATAGGAAATAAATACATATTTACTATGATGGTCAGCTTTATCTAGTGAATGCAGTATTCTCCTGATTCTCTCTGTTCTATATGATGAATAACATTAAACCTGGAGAAAAAAATAGCCTAATAACATTCAATTTTGTACCCATTCGCACAGGACAAATGTGCATGCAGTGTCACAGGAGAAATAGCTCTACAATTTTTTTTATAAATACTCCCCTTTTAATCCTCTCCCCTGGGCTTTAGGGCATATCATAGTTAGCCAGGGGCGGACTGACCATTTGGAAACTCGGGCACTGCCCGAGGGCCCAGGGTCAGTAGGGGGCCCCATGAGATGCCCCTGGTACCTTTCTCATAGGCTTTTTTGAGTTTGGGCAAGGACACAGGTGCCCCATGATCCCCTATTGCCCGGGGGCCCCATGAGTTGTCAGTCCGCCCCTGTGGTTAGCACTTCCGCCTAGGAAAGTACTAGGGTCGTTGGTTCGAATCCCAACCACGGCACTACCTGCCTGGACTTTGCATGTTCTCCCTGTGCCTGCGTGGTTTCCTCTGGGTACTCCAGTTTCCTCCCAAACTCCAAAGACATGCTGTTATGTTAATTGGATCCTGTCTAAATTGGCACTAGTATATGTATGCATGAATGTAGGTTAGGGACCTTAGATTGTACGCAGGGGCGGACTGACAACTCATGGGGCCCCCGGGCAATAGGGATCATGGGACCCTGTGTTCTTGCCCAAACTCAAAAAAGCCTATGAAAAAGGTACCAGGGGCATCTCATGGGCCCCCTACTGACCCCGGGCCCTCGGGCAGTGCCCGAGTTTCCAAATGGTCAGTCTGCCCCTGATTTATGACCTTTGAGGGTTAGGGACTGATGTGAATGTACAATATATATGTAAAAGTGCTGCGTAAATTGACAGCACTATATAAGTACCTGAAATAAATAAATAATATAATTTCTCATTAGACAAATCATAGGGTAACACTTTAGTAACACAATTTAAGGTAAAAAAAAAACTCAGAACACTCACAGCAGCATTGAGGATATGAAGGCATACATTTTAGTGGAGAGAAAACAGCACTCACTCCACTTCTTGCACTCTTCCCTTCAGCATATGATCCCACCATGCAATGGCTCCACTCATGCCTATCATCACAATACGGCTTTGTCAGGAGTGCAGGGGTTTTCTAACCCCCTTTTTATCCTCACACTCTGTTCGTCAGCCTGTTACCCTATTACCAAACTGCTCATTTTAAAATAAACTTGGTCTGTTTGGACTTTTCTTCTTAAAATCTTTTTTGGGAACAACCTCAGATTCAATAATCCAGTATAGAAAACTTTTCAGGCACCCAAATATGCTGCAAACACAGAAAAAATCCTTGCAAACTGATTCAGTTTTGATGAGTTTAACAAATACTTATAGACGGTCCTATTCTTAAGTAGTTAAAGTAAATCAATGCATATTAATTATGAACAGCGTATTGCAGATTAAATTCCATTCTTAAGTCTCCACTGCTGGAAACTATGTCAAGGTGCATACTAGCTTTTTCTAGCAGACGCAAAAAGACTGTTTACTTTCCAATGTACCTGTTTGAAAGAATAATTGTCAAGGTTCAGCACTAGGTTGTTTGTTTTCAATGACCTCCATCTAATGGCCAGTCAACATCACTTTACATTAATACATTCCTTCTAACCCCTAGATGGGAATGACTCCTGGAAGCCAAACATGTGCTTATGGGGCAGAAAGGAAACTGGTGGTGTAAAGACTAAAGTGGGCAGAGGACTGTCAACAGGTGCCAGTTATGCCAGGAAGGGTCTCCCTGCAAGTGTTCCCACATGAAAGGGAGAGTAGAATAGTTCCCTTGAGGGTTCCTGCACCTATGGTATGCTATCAAGACAAGGTCACTACTCCTGGGAATGAAGTAAAGAACAGTCGCATTCCCCCGCTACACAACAATTGTTAGAAAGCAGTTGCTAAATGTATGGGTTTCCCATAATACAGACAGAGTCTGAGATTCCCTCCACATACAGTACTTTATTTTTTTTATCTCCAGCTGCATCATGCAGATAATCTCTTACGGTAACACTCCAACAGTCCCCTCACTATCCTCAGATAAGTCCAAACAGATATCAAGGTACTACTCAGAAATTCCTAACACTAGGTTGACATCATCCCTCCACAGAACTAGAGATAAATGGCATGAGTTGATCCCTCAGCTCTCTGCGGAAGATTGGGAGGATAATAATTAAACATACTGTACATGACATTGGTCATTTCCTCCAAGGATAGGCTTATAAAACATAAATGATTTCATCACACATGTTACATGCCTAATGTGTGTAGAGCCTGGGGATCAGACAAACTTCCCAATGCTTCCACTTGGGTGGTCAGGAGGTGGACGTCTTTCATGCCTTGTGTCTGTGCCTCCAGATACAAAGCTTTTGGTCATAAGTGTGTAAATTTCTTGAGTTGGCTATGGGTGTCCCAAACATTAAAGGTCCCAAGGACCGTGTGGTAGGGTTGGTGGAATTTCCACTTGGTTCCCATACCAAAAACTCCTGCATATACTAATTTTTATGTTAAAAACATTATTTTACTCACCAGGAAGCGATCCCTTCCACCAGCCATAGCAGAGTGGGAAACAACTGATGAATGCAGCCCTTCTGCTTTACCAGCTTACATATCCTACGATCTCCGAAAAGCTTTGAAAAAAATATGGGGTCATTGGAGCAATTCTCTCCTTACTGTTTAACCCTTCTGGGTTCCTGATAGACCATGTTTGCAATATGTTTACTTTCATAGGATGTCTTTGACTTTGTGTTGTGTATCTGGGCTTCATTATGTAATGGTTGTGCAATTTCAGCTACACAGGACAGTTTCTGTGAAGGGTTTTTTTTTTATTGTTATTGTATTTGCATTTCTTTATTGTACATATTAATAAACTTTATCTTAAAAAAAGGTATGGGTAAAGCCAAAGAATCAGACAACATACTTGTCACAGGACATTGCTAGATGCAAGAGATGATCATCAAACCCACAGTGCAATGCAAACACATAGTCAGAGATCACAGCATGATAAAGGCAGACATTTTAGAAGTGACATCAGGACAAGCAAAGTCAGAACCAAAGATCAAACAAAATACAAAAATGTTACATTCATGGGCTAAACACTATGACAAGTGACTTTAAATTGGAACAAGTTATCCACTATATGGATGTGCACTGACACCAGACAGTGCCATCTCATTGCATAAAGGGGATGCTGGTGCATACACTGACAACAGAGGAAGCCTAAGAACAGCAATAACCAGGATGAGAACCTGAAAGCATGCCAGAAGAAACCAGCATCAAGAAGAGGAAGCAGAGGTAGAACTACAAGAAGGGTGTTCCAGTAAGAAACTCATGAAGCCAAACACTAAACAAGCCCCATACACTAGTAAGGAGGAGTTTACTTTTCTGTCACCAAGTGGCATCCTCTGGGGAAACGAGGAAAATCTGGAATGTGGGAGAAGACAACAGAGGAAGCCTAAGAACAGCAATAACCAGGATGAGAACCTGAAAGCATGCCAGAAGAAACCAGCATCAAGAAGAGGAAGCAGAGGTAGAACTACAAGAAGGGTGTTCCAGTAAGAAACTCATGAAGCCAAACACTAAACAAGCCCCATACACTAGTAAGGAGGAGTTTACTTTTCTGTCACCAAGTGGCATCCTCTCCTGATATATATAGTGGGGCTCTGTGAGAATTAGTGAGTTTGGGCGTACAGTAAGTAGAAAGAAGAAGGAGAATTTGAGTCTGGCTACCATTGGATGTGATGGGATCCTCCTCAAAGCCATGTAACCTTCACAGCAGTTAGCATTCCCTAGCTGGGGAAAGCCTGGGGTTACTGGTTTCCTTACTCACTCATAGTAATGTGGATAAGCAAAAGGTTTCCCATTAAAATGAAATTGCTGACAGCTGCCTCTGGAGATTAACAAAAATGCGTATGCCTTGCCATTAAAGCAAGTAAACTGTTGAAAATCATGTTGGACTTGTCTCTTCATTTTAAGGGAGGCCTATTTCAAAACTGGTTCCCAGCTCACCTGGGAGGGGAAGTGGAGTGAAGTGTCTTGTCAAGGTGCTTGTAGACCAGTTACTTTCTTGCTCCCTCAGGGAGCTGGGTCCACACTGAGCAAATCATAGGCATGAGGTATGTTGGTGTTACCCAAGGATGCAATTTATGTACAATGTTTGCTTGGCCCTGCCTACACGCTGCCTACCACCTGGATGAAATCAAATATGTCCTCAACAACAGGAAGGTTTAGTTGTATTGTCAAAATACATACAGACCACAGGGTAACATGAAGCTAGGGCACAGCAACATTTATGAAATCAGATTTAATGAGACACTCCAATGTGATCTGACTATATTTTTATGTCATTTTGCAGATGAAATATCAGAGCACACAAAAATATCTACATGGTTAACCACATGGAAGAAAAATATATTTGAAATACTACAGTTTTGGCCATATTCAATGTATTTCAATAAATATAAAAAGTAAGGACCCCAACACTGAACCTTGGGGTACACCACTGACAACCCTAGACCATTCAGAGTATGAATCAGTAACCACTACGCTCTGAATACCATCTTTTAGCCAGTTTTCTATCCATTTACATACAGATTTTTCCAAGCCTTTAGACTTTACCTTACACATTAGCCGTGTGTGGGGAACTGTGTCAAATGCTTTTGCAAAATCAAAGTATACCACGTCCACCGCCACCCCTCTGTCCAAGTATACCACGTCCACCGCCACCCCTCTGTCCAAGGTTTTGCTCACCTCCTCATGAAAAGAAATCAGATTTGTTTGACAACTTCTGCCTTTCATGAATCCATGCTGTCTGCTGTTTAAAATATTTTTTCCCAGCAAGAACTCATCTATGTGGTCTTTTATTAAACTCTCCAGTATCTTCCCAACTATAGAAGTTAAACTAAGAGTTCTATAATTACTTGGTAAAGATTTTGACCCCATTTTAAATATTGGCACCAAATTGGCCGTACGCCAATCCAGTGGTACTATGCCAGTCATTAAAGTGTCCCTAAAAGTTAGAAACAATGCCTTTGAAATGACAGAGCTCAATTATTTAAAGACCCGAGGGTGTATGCCATCCGGTCCAGGTGCTTTATTCACCTTTATTCTGTCTAAATATTTCTGGATCATATCAATTGTGAGCCAATGTGGATCATCTGGAGCTGTGTCAATACCATGCCCATTATGGACAAGAGCTCCCCTATACTCTTTTGTATACACAGAGCTGAAGAAGGTAATAAATAAATTTTCCTTCTCTTTGTCCCCAGTCACCCACTCTAGATGATTCTGTAAAGGGCCTACATGCTCAGACTGAACCTTTTTACTATTAATATTTTTGAAGAATTTTTGAAGGTTGGTCCTGCTATCTTTTGCAATCTGTCGTTCGTTTTCAATTTTTGCGGCCTTTATTTTTCCTTTTTGCACATTCTGTTATATTCTTTGTAATGTTTAAACGATGATCATGTTCCTTCAATTTTATATTTATTTTAAAAAAAATTCTTATTATTTATAGCTTTTTTAACTTTGGCCGTAAGCCACATAGGTTTGATTTTTAGCCTTTTAAACTTGTTGCCCATGGGAATATATTTTGCAGTGTGTTCACATACAGTCTTTCTGAAGAACTCCCATTTCTATGTTGTGTTCATTGATGCCAATATTCCCTACGTCTAAGTCTTGGAGAGCAGCTCTCAGCCTTGGAAAATTAGCTCTCTTAAAATTGAACATTTTTATTTTTCCCGTATGTGCTTGCTGTTTACAGCTAACAATAAATGA